TGTTATTCAAACAGAACAAGGGGATACTGCATGGTTTTAAACAGGATGGGAGTGTATCCTTTCACCATACTTATTCAACCTGTATGCTAAGCAAATAATCTGAGAAGCTGGACTATATGAAGAAGAATGCGGCATCAGGATTGGAGGAAGACTCATTAACAACCTATGATGTGCAAGTGACACAACCCTGCTTGCTGAAACTGAAGATGACTTGAAGCATTTATTGATAAAGATTAAAGATTACAGTCTGCAGTATGGATTACATCTCAACATAAAAAAAAAGAAAATCCTCATAACTGGACCAATAAACTACATTAGCAAAAAAAAAGGAGAAAAGACTGAAGATTGTCAAAAAGATTTTGTCAAAAGACTGTCAAAGATTTCTTATTACCTGGATCCACAATCAACACCAATGGAAACAGCATTCAAGAAATCAGATGTTGCACTGCACTGGGCAAATCTGCTGCAAGACTCTTTAAAGTACTGAAGAGCAAAGATGTCTCTTTGAAGACTAAGGTATGCCTAACTCAAGCCATGATATTTTTATTACCTCATATGCATGTGAAAGCTGAACAATGAATAAGGAAGACTGAAGAAGAGTTGATGCTGTTGAGTTGCCGTGTTGGCAAAGAACACTGGAAGTACTATGAACTGCCAGAAGAAGGAAAAAAATCTGTCCTGGGTGAACTGCAGCTGGAATGTTCCTTGCAAGCAAGAATGGCCAGACTTCACCTCACCTCCTTAGGTCATGTTGTTAGATGGGACCATTTCCTAGAGAGGGATATCATGCTTGGTAAAGTGGAGGTCAGTGAAAAAGAGGAAAATTTTCAACGTGATGGAATGACACTGGCTGCAAAACTTGACACTGTGGCTCAAGTATAACAAGGACTGTGAGGCTGGCACAGTACTGGGCATTGTTTTATTCTGTTGTACATAGGGTCGATATGAGTTGCAGTTGACTTGACAACACCTAACAACAACAACACAGGTGATTTCCATGAACAGTCAAGTTTAATAATCACTGTTTGTTTTTTTTTTTTTGCATTCTAAATGATACGTATTTTATTGTAAACTACTTTTTAAAATTAAGAGAAAACAAGTATTTTTACTGGGCAAGGAACACTGGCTGTTCTGAAAATAGACACTATTCCCCTCACACCCAATAGAATCAAAATGTTATCTTGTACCTTGGTAGTATGCGGTCTGGAAACCTATGAGTTTGAATATGGGCAGCTAATCCTGGTTTTTTGGCTTGTTCAAACAAAGCTATAAGATTATGAGAGTAGAGCTGAAAGGTTTTTCCTATAAAAAAGAAACATGTTACTCTTATTAGGATCATTTACAGTAGAAAAATACAATTTTCAAGTAAAAGAAATATAATTACCTTCTAAAATGAAGAGTCCAGAAATGTTCAAAAAGCCAAGCAAAACAGAAAAACAAAACAAAACCCTAGTTAATACTATTTTGAAAGATAATAATAGGTAAAATGATGTCTTAAAAAGAGTAGATAATTTTCTTTCATAAAACACAAATTAGGTATTTTCTGACTTTAGTAAGTGGTCTGGGCAGAATATATGTATAAATTTTTAATAATGCTAGCATAGAAGCAAACTGTTAAATATTATGGAATGTAACCTCATGTCATGGTCTTAGGTACAATGATGCACACGTGATTCTTTTAGTATAGCACAGGAAATTCCTTAGAAACTGTTATTATTTAACTGGGATAGATCTATTCATTAATAAATTACCTAATAAATTACATTAGATTAAATGATTATAAATAAAGCCTTAATAAAATACTAAGAAAATTAAAAGAAACCAATATTATAAGCCTTAATATAAGCATAATGAACTGAAATTTTCATATATATCCACTCCTCACTTATTGACATGGTTACGTTCCAAAATCAGCATTATGCCAAGATAAACACATCATTCCGTAACTGCCAAATTTCATCATCACATAACTGCCAAACATCTGAGAATCATAGCCTAATAAAGCTGACACATAATCTTAACCATCACAGTATTACTCTCACCTTACAACTTGGCATCCATTACTGCCAGACATAAGTCATAATATGCAAAATAGTCAGATATTTTACTATTGTCGTAAATGCAAAATTCAGTTAACAATACTGCCAATAAATAAGGAGGAGATGTAATAAAAAACATAGCTGTGTTAAACATGGGAAGATACGGCAAACATCTTCTGACTGCTTATTACTTTGGTACAGTAATATAACAACCCAAAAACATGTTTTTATTATTAGAAAAAACACACATATAATGTCTTGTTCTTAACAACATTCTCTGTATTTTCTCAGGTTACAAACATTCTGCCTAACACTGCACCATTCTTACTCTATCCATCTCTTCTATATACATAGATTGCCTACTAGCTGGATAGCCAGCCAAACACATATGTCCACTCATGTGTGTGTGCATACATGTACACATGCATACACACACACACACATACACCTTTCAGGAGAACAATGTTTTCTATTGAGCTCTGCTACATACCTCCTCCTAGATTTATAGTCATCTCAGAGTACAGAAAGAACTCAATCACAGGCTGATTTTTCCCAAAGTGATTTTATAAATATATAACTTGTTTCCTGTGTGGTTTTAAGCTTATTTGTATAAGCTTATTTAATAACTTAGAATTGGGTCTAAGTTCATTTTCATAATAGTAATAAAATATAAGTCTTACTAAACAACAACAAAAAAATGATGGGGGAAAGCACCATTAAAAGCAAAGACATTAAGTACTCTTTTGAGGATCCTTGCTCTTTAGAAGTCATTTATGCACAAATACTATGCTTTTACATAATTATCAATTTTTAAAACTTCTGCTGTTGTTGAAATCTATACAGCAAAACACACCAATTTAACTGTTTCTACATGTACAATTCAGTGACACTGACTATATTCTTCAAGTTGTACAAACATTCTCACTCTTCTTTTCTGAGTTATTTCTTCCCCATTAACATAAACTCATTGCCCCTTAAGATTCCTACCTAATTTTTTGAGTTGGTGGTTGTCAATTTGATCCCATATAGACAGTTGTTAAAGAGCATAATTCTCAAGGCAGCCCTTTTTCACTAGTAAGCTAACTTACCCTTTGGTTTTAAGAAGACTACAGGGGATATTTTTGGTTTAAGTTTCAAAGATTATCTCAGGGCAATAGCTTCAGAGTTTCATCTAGTCCTTCATGGCTCTAGAAAGTCTGGAATCTACATAAATTTTAAATTCTGTTCTGCATTTTCCCCTTTTTTGATCAAGTTTCATCTACATGCAAATAACAAGAATAATCAATGAAAAGGGTGGCATTACAACAGAACCAACTGAAATAAAAAATATACTGACACAATATTATGAAGAACTGTACTCCAACAGATTTGAGAACCTAGAAGAGACGGACAAGTTTCTAGAAACACAAGACCTATCTAAGCTATCCCACTCATAGACAGAATATTTGAACAGACCCATAACAAAGGAAGAAATTGAACAAGTCATAAAAAACTTTCCAAATGAAAAATTCCTGGCTTCACTGGAGAATTTTAGCAAATATTTATGGAAGAATTGACACCTATACTATTCAAGCTATTCCAGAACATAGAAAAAGATGGAATACTCCCAAACCCATTTTACGAAGCAAGCATAACACTGACACCAAAAACAGGGAAAGACACCACTAAAAAGAAAAACTACAGACCAATATGCCTCATGAACACAGATGTAAAAATCTTCAACGAAATCCAAGACAACAGAATTCAACAACATATAAAAAAAATAATACATCCTGACTAAATGGGACTCATACCTGGCATGCAAGAATGGTTCAACATCAGAAAAACAATCTATGTAATCCACCACATAAACCAAAAGAAAAGAACCGTATAGTCGTATGGTCGCATCTATCAATTGATGCAGAAAAGGCATTTGATAAAATCCAACACCTATTCCTGTTCGAAACTCTCAGCAAAATAGGGCTAGAAGGGAAACTCAACATGATAAAGGGTATATATGCAAAGCCAGAGGCCAACATTATTATTAATGGAGAAAGATTCAAAGCATTCACCTTATGAATGGGAACCAGACAGGGATGCCCTCTATCACCACTCCTATTTAATACTGTACTGGAAGTCCTAGCCAGGGCAATAAGGCAAGAAAGAGAAATAAAAGGCATCCAAATGGGCAAAGAGGAAATAAAGCTATCTCTATTTGGGGATGACATGATGCTACACATAGAAAACCCAAGAGACTCAGCAAAAAAATACTGGAACTAATAGAGAAGTTCAGCAAATTGGCAGGATACAAAGTCAACATACAAAAATCAGTTGGATTCCTCTACACCAACAAAGAGACCTCCGAAAAAGATATAAGGGAAACAATACCATTTATAATAGCTACTAAAAAGATAAAATACCTAGGAATAAATCTTATGAGAGACACAAAAAACCTATACAAAAAAAAAAAAAAACTATAAAACACTATTACAGGAGACTACAAGGGATCTACATAAATGGAAGAACCTGCCTTGTTCATGGATAGGAAGACTCAATATTGTGAAAATGTCAATAGTACCCAAAACATATTTAATGCAATCCCAATCCAGATACCAATAAAATTTTTTAAGGATATGGAAAAACCAATTACTAACTTCATATAGAAAGGAAAGAGTCCTTGGAAAAGCAGAGCAGTACTGAAAAAGAAGAACAAAGTGGGAGGTATCACACCCTGGATGTCAAACCCCACTCTACAGCCACAGTAGCCAAAACAGTGTGGTATTGGTACAATGATAGCAAGATAGACCAATGGAACAGAATTGAAAACACAGAAATAGACCCATCCATCTATGGACAGTTGATCTTTGAGAAAGGTCCAAAATCCATTAAATGGGGAAGAGATAGCCTGTTGAACAAATGGTACTGGCAAAACTGGATATCCACTTGCAGAAAAATGAAACAAGACCCATACTTCACCCCATACTCAAAAATGAACTCAAGGTGGATCAAAGACTTAAATGTGAAACCCAAAACTATAAAATTCATCAAAGATAAAATAAGGGCAAATCTAGGGGCCCTAATTTACCACATTCTCTGGTAGCATAGTGGCTAAGGCACTTGACTGCTAACCAGAAGTCTGGCAGTTCAAACCCACCAACCACTCCTCGGAAGGAAGATGGGCCAATCTACTTCCGTAGTGATACTGCCTCGAAAACCCAAGGAGGGGTCACTATGAGTCAGGTGTGACTCGACGGTACATAACAACAACAACAACAACAACAACAACAATTTACCACATAAATAGACTATCAAGCGTAACTCAGAATGCACAGGAGGTGGAAGAGAAGCTAGATAACTGGGACCTTTTAAAAATTAAATTCTTATGCCCATCGAAAGACTTTGTCAGAAGGGTAAAAGGAGAACCTACAGATTAGGAGAAAATATTTGTCTATAACATATCTGACAGAAGACTTATCTCCAAAATCTATAGAAAACTTCAACACCTCAACACCAAAAAAAACAAACAATCCAATTTAAAAACGGGCAAGGGACATGAACAAACACTTCCCTAAAGACAATGTGCTGGCGGCCAACAAACACATGAGGAATTGCTTGTGATCTTTAGACATTAGAAAGCTGTAAATCAAAAAAAATGATGAGAGATCATCTCACCCAGCAATAAAAGCAAAGTTCAACAGGACAGAAAATTAACAAATGCTGATGAGGTTGCAGAAGGATTAGAACTCTCATATACTGCTGGTGGGAGTGTAAAATGGTACAACCATTGTGGAAAATGGTATGGCGTTTCCTTAAAAAACTGAAAATAGAAATATCGTTTGAACCAGCAATTCCATTACTAGGAATATATATCCTAAAGAGGTGAGAGGCAGGACATGAACAGACATATGTACACCCATGTTCATCACAGCACAATTCACTATAGCAAAGAAATGGAAACAACCTAGATGCCCATCAACAGATGAATATATAACCAAATTATGGTACATTCACACAATGGAATACTATGCTACACTAAAGAACAATGAACGATATGCAAATCATCTCACAACGTGGTTGAACCTTCAGGACATTATGCTGCGTGAAATAAGTCAATCGCAGAAGGGCAAATATTGCATGAGCCCATTACTGTAAAAAGACAAGGAAGGGTTTGCTTAAGGAAGGGAACTCACTTTGTAGTTTACTGGGGAAGGGAAATAAGGGGAGGGAAGGGGATAATTTTAGGCTAGTTGGGGGCCACACGCTGAGGTGGGTAAAGGGAAGGATGGTATGGAAAGAGTCTGTGACCAGCATGATAACATTGGGGAAAGGGAGGACACTGAATTGTGCACACAAGATATAGATGACAGAGGCTAATACCAGTATATCCATAATACTGCATTATTATTTACACCAAACACCAGGCTACAGATAAACATATAGACAACTGAGAAGATCAGATGGGGGTCAGTGAACAAGATTATATTCTAGACCAAAGACAGATTCAGCTGAGGTTGATCTTGCACAGATACCAGTGATACAAAATAACCCACAATCATTACAGAAGCAACAGAAAACAGGTATAGAGCAATTCCTCATAGACAGCCAGACACTGGGAGAGAGGTCCAATGGATCTGCTGACTCAGGATTATAGTATTGGGAGACACCAGACTCAACTGGCACAACGTAATACATAAAAATCTTGTTCCACAACCTACACTGGTTGAGTAGTGAGTAGGGTCTTAAAAGCTTTCAAGCGGCCATCTAAGATGCAGCTAATGGTCTTCTATCACCGGAAGCAAAGAGTGAAAAAAAAAAGGCTTTTGGAAACAATGAGCCCTAGGATATGATGGACCTTGAGACCAGAAGAACTAGAAGATACCTGGCTACCAATGCCAACCACTCAGGAAGGGATCAAAACTGGAGATCCTGGATAGAGTGGGAGGGGAAACGTGGAACAAAATTAAAAAACACAATAATGACCAGAATTACTGGTTGGATGGAGTCTGGTAGGGCCCCCAAGACCATGGCCCTGGGATACACTTTGGACCTGGGATAAAACTCACTCCCAAGGGCTGGTTCTCAGCCCAATAGTAAATAAGACATACACGCAGACTGCTCAACCCAGGGGGATGCACCATATACTCTATGGAGATACATCCCTTGGAGTAATTGGCTGTGGGCCACCAGAGGGGCAACATTCACACGGAGGAAAAGCAGGACACACAAAAGTGCATAACTGAGAAGGGCAGGGGGAGGGGCTTACAGGAAGGGAGAGGAGGCAAGAGAATTAGGGATGGGGATGGTAACTGGGTAGTGAAACCAAACGTACACGAAATGTTGAAGGTAAAGCAGAATCTGCTCCATAAATTTGCACCTAAAGCACAACAACAACAACAAAAATTCATCTATAGAATCTGAACAAAATATTTAGTAATTGTAGCTGAGACCTACCATCTGGTCTCATAGCTCTTTATGATTATTTAAAAATAATATGCTCTTTATAAATACTGTCATCAGCTCAAATACACAAATTCCTGAAGAATCTCTACTAAGTAATGGTTATTAATAGAATTCAAATTATTTATATGCACATGAATGTAAAATTATGAAACAGAATGGCAAGTCCTCCTAAAATGGCATTTCTTAAATCAGATCTTAAATCAGACTACAATTCATAATGACTACCTATCAGTGATTAATATGGTATGACAGCACTGGTATTCTGGAGTATAAACAGATGAAAACGTTCACTCAGTACTGGTAATCTAGTGGAGGGTAGGAGTGGTGGTAGTGATGGTAGAAGAGGCTGAGAGAAAGGTGATGGCCCAGGTGACAATCATTGTGCTATTTCTCACATGTTTTGATGCTGGGTGGGTCTGAGAAATGGTGCCATAGCTAAACACAGGTTTGCTCTCAAAGTTTCTTCTCACTTTAGGTTGCTATAAAATGTCTGGCAGCCCCAAAGTAATATACCAAATTATAATTACCCAGAATTACAAATAACATTTTAAAATAATGTGTATGAAAATTACATCTCTGCTTGTTTATGGTTTGTCTTTAATCACAAATACATACCTGATAATGACATTAAAGTATTATTGATGACGTACAGCCAAGTACACTTCCGTGGAAATAACTGGAGGTGGGGGGGGTGAGTGAGGGGAGAGATGATAATTAAAATCTTCCAATTATCATTTGCTTATTCCTTAACTCTAAAAAAAATTCTGATTTTCTGAAATAATATACAAATAACTATACTCCATCATTCAGTAAATTACCAAGACTTGAGAAAAATTATCTTTCAACTTGAACATATAAAGAGTATAGTTTCACTTCTTTATAAACGATCCACTATACAATTAAGAGGAAGCTCTGGTAGCATAGTGCCTAAGGCATCCGACTGCTAACCACTCCTTGGAAGGAAGGTTGGGCAATCTACTTTCATAGTGATACTGCCTCGGAAACCCAAAGAGGGGTCACTGTGAGTCGGGTCTGACTCGATGGCACATAACAAATACAATCTTAATATATCTTTTATTTTACTTATCCAACCTGATTACTTGAAATAAAACTGCTAATTACCTGTTCCATTGTTGCCTCATGTAGCTCATTGAGATTCAAAGTGTAAATACCATCTTCAGTTCCAAAAATAATATACTGATCTAGAATAGTTGAGATAAATTATCAGAATGCATTTTTTTCTCAAATCATTTGCTAACATAATTAAGAGTTAGCTACCCATGCATCCAATGAAAAGTTATTTTCTTAAATTCATGCCACCTTCTTTACCTCCTTTCCCAATTCTTATCGTGTAAAAGCAGATTTACTCTGGTGGACTAACTCACTCTCACTTTATATTACTATCTAATCCTCCTCTTCAACTTAATTTCTGTATTTTAATTTTTTAAAGTATTTTACACACTTCAAATGCTCATCTGAACAATAAACAATGAACAGTAAACTATAAATCATAATACCACCAATAACAAAGAGTACATTTAGTACTCAAATCTTGGTTTCCACTAAAAGGAACCAGGGCTTCTTGGAGAAAAGAAAAGTCCAGATTCCAGAGCAAGGAAGTATAAGAAGAGCCTAGAAAGCTTACTGTGCCAGAAAGCAAGGAAGTGTACCCAAAATGATAAGGACACAGCAAACCAAAGAACATAGGCCATGCTACTGGTCAAAAAATCTGGAATACTTTAAGCATTAAAATAAAAAATGTAATGGATTATATCTTACTGAATAAAATAAGAATTTATAAATTCAAACTGATATAACCACTACCTTAACCAACTGATCAATATTAATATTACCAGTATTTGGACAAACTGATATGTGCCTCTTAATATGATGCACTGAGAAGGACACAATAACAAAGATGCATAACTTGATCTAAGAATGTGAATACATCAGAAAAACCCAAATTGAGGGACACCAAAAATCAAAAATCCAAACTCACTGCCGTCGAGTTGGATCTGACTCATAATGACCCCTCCTTGGGTCACTATGGAGGGAGCTCTTGTAGCATAGTGCCTAAGGCACCTGACTGCTAACCAGAAGGCTGGCGGGTTCAAACCTACCAGCCACTCCTCGGAAGGAAGGTTAGGCAATCTACTTTTGTAGTGATACTGCCTCGGAAACCCAAGGAGGGGTCGCTATGAGTTGGGGCCAACTCGACGGCACTTAACAACAACAACAACATCACTATGGAAGTAGACTGCCCAATCTTCCTTCTGAGGAGTGGCTGGTGGGTTTGAACTACCAGCCTTCTGGTTAGCAGTCAAATGTCTGAGGCACTACATCACAAATAAATGGCCTCACAAATGTCAAGATCAGGACAGACAAGGAAAGGCTGAGGAAAACTACTTCAGATTAAAGGAGACTAAAGAAACATGGTAGCCTAAGACAACATAGGACCCTGAATTGGATGTTAGATTCAGGGATAAAATGTGAATATGGACTGTGGATTAGAAAATAGTATTGTATCAATGTTAAATTTCCTAATCTTTAGAAAAGTACTGTGGTTATATAAGAAATCATTCTTTTCCCAGTGTACAATGAACTATACGGGGAAGGACTGATGTCTCCAACTCATTGTCCTGTGATTCAGAAAGTAATGCACAGATAGATAATGATTTAAAAAAAAAAATTGGGGCAGGTATAAATAAGTGGTGAATCTGAGGAAAAGGTATATGGGAGTTCCAGTTAAGGCATTTTGGCTGCTAACCTAAGGCTGGTGGTTTGAACCCACCAGCCGCTCCATGGAAGAAAGATGGGACAATCGGCTTCTGTAAAGATTTACAGCCTTGGAAACCCAATAGGGGTTGCTATGAGTCAGACTTGACTTGATGGCAGTGAGTTTGGTTTTGGAGTTTTATATTATTTTTGTAATTTTTCTGTAAGTCTGAAATTATATAAAAATTGAAAGTTAGAAAAAATAAACCATCTTCTTTAAAAAAATTTTTTTTTCTGTTTACTTTCCAATATTGTTGGTGTTAAGTGCCATGGAGTTGGTCTTTACTCATAGCAACACTACATACAACAAAACAAAACACTGCCTTGTCCTCTGCTATCATCATAATTGTTGCTATGCTTGAGTCTATCATTAAAGCCACTGTGTCAATCCATCTCATTGAGGGTCTCCCCCTATTTGGCTTGCCCTCCACTTTACCCAGCATGATATCCTTCTACAGGGACTGGTACCTTTTGATAACATGCTAAGGTATGAGATGAAATCTGGCCATTCTTGCTTCTAAAGAACATTCTGGCTGTACTTCCTCCAAGATAGATTTAACTGTTTTAGCAGTCCATGGTACCTTCTATGTTCTTCACCAACATCACAGTTCAAAATCATCAACTCTTCTCCAGTCTTCCTTATTTACTGTCCAGCTCTCACAACCATATGAAGCTACTGAAAAGACCAGGGCTTGGGTCAGGCACACCATAGTCTTCAAAGGGACAGCTTTGTTCTTAAACATTTTAAAGGAGCCCTTTGCAGCAGGTTTTCCCAATGCAACACATCATTCCATTTCTTGACTGCTGTATCGATGGAGACGGATTGTGAATCCAAGTAAAATGAAATCTCTGACAACTTCAATATTTTCTCCATTTATCAAGATGTTGCTTATTGTCCAATTGTGAGGGTGTTTGTTTTCTTTATGTTGAGGTGTAATCCATACTTTAGACTGCAGACTTTGATCTTCATCAATAAGTGCTTCAAGTCTTCTCCATTTTCAGTAAGGAAGGCTGTGCATCTGCCTATCACAGATTGCTAATGAGTCTTCCTCTGATCTTGATGTCATGATCTTCTTACCGACTAAACAAGTATAATGAAAGGACACACCCCAACACATACCTTTCTTGATTTTAAATCATGAAGAATCCCCTTGTTTCATTCAAACAACTGTCTCTTGGTCTATGTAAAGGTTCCTCATGAACACAATTAAGTGTTCTAGAATTCCCATTCTTCTCAGTGTTATCCATAATTTGTTAAGATACACATAGTTGAATGTCTTTGCACTGTCAATAAAACACAAGTAAACACCTTGCTAGTACTCTTTGCTTTCAGCCAAGATCCATCTGACATCACCAACGATATCCTTCATCCTATGTCCTCTTGTGAATCTGGTTTGAATTTCTGGAAGTTCCTTGTCAATATACTGCTGCAACCATTTTTGAATTATCTTTAGCAAAATTTTGCTTGCGTGTGGTATTAATGATACTGTTTGATCATTTCTGCTTTCTGTTGAATCACATTTCTTTGGAATGGGCACATATAAGGATCTGTTCCAATCGGTTGCCAGGTAGCTGTCTTCTAATTTCTTGGTATAAACAAGCGAGCGATCTAGTGCTGCATCAGTTTGTTGAAACATCTCAGTGCGTATTCTGTCAATTCCTTAGGCCTCATTTTTTCCAAATTCCTTCAGTGCAGCTTGGACTTCTTCCTTCGATATCACTGGTTCATAATCATATACTTTACTACTGAAATGGCTGAACTGCAACCAATTCTTTTTGGTACAGTGACTGTATATTCTTTCCACTTTTTTTTTCCTTTACTGTGATGTGGGTGAAAGTTCATAGAGCAAATTCATCTTCCATATAGCAGTTCATACACGTTTTGTTTCATGACATTGAATGCAATCCTCACACCCGAACAGCTCTCTTCCCACTTCCTCTCTGTAGTTACCTTTTCTCTGTGTCCTTCTTTCCTACGCATTCCTGCCCTCTGAGCTGTATCTCTGTGCAAATACTGCCTTTCTGATCTCCCATGGTTGATTATTCTAAGAAGTGTATCTACCTAGTGTAATGTTGTTGTTGTTAGGTGCCATTGAGTCATCTGACTCATAGTGACCCTATGCACAGTAGAATGAAACATTGCCTGGTCCTGTGCCTGCCTCATGAGCCTTGCTATACCTGAGCCCATTGTTGCAACCACTTTGTCTATCCATCTCGTGGTTCCTTCTGACAACATGACCAAAGTAGGTGAGACATTGTCTGGCCATTGTCACTTCCAAGAAG